CAACTAGGAGTGGCCTCTTTCTTCAACGAAACCAGGCAACACAGAACACCCTGACAAAGGAGGGCTTGTTCCTGTTCCCTGAGAACTCTCCAAGGTCCATGAGCGCTTTCCCTGGGGACTGGGGATCTGCCTACATCAGGCTGTCTTACCTGGTTCTGTTGTCTGCTCCCAGATGTCATCCTCATAGTACTGAATTCCTTGGTCACAGGCTCCATAGTTCTCTTTGGCTCCCGGGAAGGAGGACCCCTGGTGCCTGAGGCTGTGGTAGGTTCTGGCACTGGAGAGGAAAGCTTATTGCACAGGCAGGCAGGACACAGCTGAAACACTTGTGCTGAGGCCTCAGGCTCAGGTTAGAGGAAGTAAGGACGGAAGCACGCAGCCATAAAGGACAGTTGCTGGGCAGTGTGAACATTTGATTACTTCCCTTCCTCTGTGCCTTGAGCTTCTGGAGATTGTGAAAGTGAGTGAAGAGCAGCCAAACAGAGCTGTCTCAACCCTGGGGAACTCTGACGGTTTTAACATGGCCGTTTGGGGGTTCTCTGCCACAGTATGCCCTTCCCTCATTCCAGCACTGTAAAACCTCAGGCTCCCACACCACAGTGCACAGTCTCTCTTCCCCATTCCCATGGTGAGATTTCCCTCCTCCCTCTTCCCATTTCAGGACAGCCTGCTTCAGTGTCAGGGGCTAGATAGGGTTAAAGGCCCTTTGGAGCCCTGTGGGTAGAACAAGGAATACTGGCTATGTCCTCTGCCGGGGTCATGTTTAGCAAGGCCAGCGATGGACTGGAGCCGGGGGCCGGGGCCTGGAGCTTGACCGTTCTCCTGTGAAGCTGAGGACAGGTGATCCAGAACTGAGATGTGAAATGTTTTTCCCACTGTGCCAGCATCTATCTTGTAATAGGAGGTTCCCCATGTCTCCCACTGTTCTGCTGTCCTATGAACTTTGCTGACTCACTTTCTGTTCCCCATCTGAGGGGACATAGGGAGCTGAATGACTAATAAATTTGTTGGCTGGGATTCTCGGCCCTTGGGGCACTTTCGAACCCAGCTAGTGTCTCTTCCCTTTCTTGCCCCTGGTCCTTTCCCTCAGAGTCCCAGCATGAACCCGGGAAGACATCCTGCATCCATTCCAAAGCCTCACAATCTAGTTAATCCTAACTTTTTAATCTAGTTGGCTTTCTTATAAATCCACTCAAGAAAATTACAGATCACCGTACTTATTAAGCAAATTAAGAATAGAGATAGTCCTTTATTACCTAGTGTCCTAGTTAGGGTTTCTATTGCTGTGAAGACGTGCCAGGACCATGGTGCGTCTTATGAATGAAAACATTTAAGTGGTGGCTGGCTTACAGTCAGAGAGAGGTCTGCCATCTTGGCAGGTAGCATGGCAGCATGCAGGCAGACGTGGAGTTGGAGAGGTGGCTGAGAGTTATGTATACATCCGTATCCAAAGGCAGCAAAAGAGATTGTAGGCCACTAGACCTGGCTTGAGCTTCTGAACCTTAAAGCCACCCCCAGTGAGAATTTCCTACAACAAGACCACACTTACTCCAATAAGGCCACACCTCCTAATAGTGCCATTTCATGCAATCTCTTAGCTGTAATCCCTGTGGGGTCATAATGAAAAAGCAGATCTCTGTAGAGTGAGGAGAAAGCAAGCAGACAACAGTCTTTGGAGAGGATAGCCAGACATGTAAGGATGGAAAAGTACAGCCTAACTCTCCAATGACCACAGGAAGCTAGAAGTTTAATTACTAAATACCTTAAATTCCAGACCCTGTCCTCAGCCAGTAAACAGGCGAAAGGTCACACTCCTTGCCGCTTATCTGACTTTGTAAACTGCTTGTGAAACCCCGCCCCAGTGACCCAACCTAACTGCTATTTGCCACCCCATCTAGGAGTCTGTGCAAATGTGGACCTCCAGGGCTATAGAAAACTGACTGGTCTATAAAAGCGCCGGGATTGGATGGTTTAAATTGATTGTCCTGCACCGCTCGGACTCTTGATGCTATGAGATGATTGATGTATGATGCGCAGGCTTTGTTGTAAACCCTATAAAAGCTGTCTCAATGCTGCACTGGGATCCTCAGGCTTCTACCCCTGCGTGGCACATGACTGTGGACCCCAGTGCACTTGGAATAAACAAGACCTCATGCATTTTGCATCAAGACTGCTTCTTGTGAGTGATTTGGGGCATCGCCTTTCCTGAGTTGGAGCGTGAAGGTCCACACGTCTTTCAGACACACCAAAGAAAATGAACTGTGGGGGCTGGAGAGATGGCTCAGCGGTTAAGAGCACTGGCTGCTCTTCCAGAGGACATGAGTTCAATTCCCAACCACCACATGGTGACTCACAACCATCTGTAATTATATCTGGTGCCCTCTTCTGGCCTGTAGGCCATTATTATGTATTATGTATACAGTACATAATAAATAAATAAATAAATAAATAAATCTTTTAAAAAAAAGAACATGTTTAAAAAAGAAAGAAAGAAAGAAAAGAAAAGAAAATGAACTGTGGTTTGAAGAGGAGGCATCTTCCTGTGACCAGCATTCCCAGAAGCATTCATAAGCATTCATACGTTCACCTGCTTGTGTAGCCCTGTCAAGGAAGTTCAGAGTCCTATAGGAAAATGGAAAACCTCGGTAAAGTTTAGTAAGCAAGTATTTTCTTCCACTGGATCAATGGGACTGAGCAGGTAGGTAAATAATGAGGAATTTTGGGGGGGGGTTCTTTGTTACTCAGAAGGCTGGGGGGGGGATGTGGCTCTTTGTAGAAAGCCATTTTTTGAAACAAAGGAGAACAAGAAGCTTTTGTTGTTGCTATGTGGAGGTTTGTTTCTTTGGGGGGTAAGTTTTGTTTTCAGAGTCTCATTTAGACTAGCTTGGCCTCTAATTTCCATATAGCTGAGCTCTGGCTGTCCTGGAACTCTCTATGTACTCAAGGCTGGCCTCGATCTCACAGAGACACGCCTGCCTCTGCCTCCTTAGTGCTGGCATTAAAGGCGGTGTGCTGCGGTGCCTGGCACACTTTGTATGTTTTATCTCATCTGATCTTCACCGTAACTCTACATTCAGGTACTATTTTAACGTTCATATATTATAGATGAGAAAATTTTTGCACAGAGCAGCTAAGTAACTGATAGTCACTCAGGTAATGAATTTAACATCTGCAGCCTATAGTGGGCCCAGTGGCATTCACTTGTAGTAAGTAACAGAAATTGGGCTCTAAGTGAAGATAGGACACCATCAGGTCAGGCTCCTGGCTGTCAAAATCTGTTTGGTGGAAAGGATTGGTTTTGCTTTTTTTATTATTATTATTTTTATTATTTGTATTAGGCCTTTTTGTGTCCATAGTGGCGCCCCTGGATTCTGAGTGGAGCGAAGTAAAGCAATGATGCCCGCTTGTGCCCTAGATGCGCCTGCCTGGACAAGGTCCTGGGCATCCAAAAAAAAAGAAAAAGAAAAAGTCTTAATCACCTTGGCAACCGACACTTCCGGAAATCCAGGCGATGCCGGAAACGACTCTTGCGCGCTTCCGGTGCCGCCGTCGTTGCCTGGCGGTGTTGGGGTGGGTGGGCCGTCCTGCACGAGGTCGCGACGGGCGGAGAGGTGCGGGCAGCACGCGGGGCGCGAGGCCGGGGTCCCTGTCCGCGGCTGCACGGCCCGGGCTCGGCCGGGGTTGCAGGGGGCGGACCCGCCGGGTGAGCGGCGCCCTCTGGACCCGGCCCCACCTGAGCTCGCACAGGCTCAGCCAGGCAGTGATGGCGAGCTCCTTTAACCCCGGCACTCCAGAGGCAGAGGCAGGATAGGCAGGGCTACACACAGAATCCCCGTCTCGGAAAAACACAAGCAACCAACCTGACAAACCAACCCTGGGGCCTCCACTGCCTGGTGTCTGGAAATACAGCACACACCCCCGTTACCCCCGAGGGTCTGGCTTTCAGATGGCATGCATAGACGGCAAAACATTTTGCACAAGCATTGTCAGCTAAGTTAACCCATCCGTCCGTTCGTTGACCATATACCTCTGTCCCCGTGTGACACATGTCGTGTGCGCACGTCTGCAAGCCAGTCCTGCCTTTTGAGTCTTCCCAGAGAGAACGGAGCGCACATCTGTGTAAACGGCAAGGAGTCCCGTTAAGAGAAGTGATCCCGAAGAGGTATGGGTGGGAAATGGTCCGTGGGATTACTGAAGGGTTACCACTGCTATCTATACCTGGAGAGACCAGAAAGACTTAAGATCTCCAAAGTTTTTATGCTGGGTGGCCCTCCAGCAGCTTGGAGGCCACGAGTAGTGAGTACACTGTTACTATGAGATACAGCAAGGAAAACAAATCCGCTGTTGTCTGGGGCAACCAGGAATACTACCTCCAAAACAAGTGACAGACCAGTAAACATAGGTCAGAAATGAAGAAAAAAGGCGGGGGGGGGGGGTGTGAGGGGGAGGGGGGAGTCCAAACAGGTAAAGTGTGTGTGTTGCTATTTTGTAGGGTGGCAGTCCCAAACTTGTACATTTCTACTAGTTGAAGTTTCGAGCCCCCACTCCCAGCGTAAGTTGATTAAAAAAATTAACACTATGTGCTACTTGAATTTCAGTACGTGCACACTACAGAACGTATTAAATAGAGGTTAAATGTGCTTTAACATCCTGTTTTCTTCACACCCTACACTGGAGGCCATCGCTATCCTTTTAACTTGGGTACGTGGGGGGAATGGTTGGAGGTTTGTGTGAAAAGCTATGAATGCTAAACGTAGGCATTTAGCTAGGTTTTATCCTGTAGGTGGCCAGAGCCACTAAAGTTTGGGAAGGGAAGTAACTTAGAGTGATTTCTCTGTTTGTTACTCTTTTGTTTTGAGCTGGGCAGAGTACTCCAGTCCTCTGATTGTTCTCTTTATGCTTCAGTAGGTGACACTTCCTGTCTTGAGTCTGAAAAAACAGCTCCTGAAGTTTGAAGGACAGACTCAATTTCAATGTGCCCGCTTCTCCGTGGGATCAGGATGACCACGGAAGGCGGCAGGACATTAGGTCTCATCCCCAGGACAGCTGTGTATCAGAAGCAGGAGGAGGGGTGCTTGAATGTGAAGCAGGAACCAGGAAGCCAGACCTTGGGACAGAGCTGCAGTTTCCAGGAGACCTCCCCTCCTGTCTGTGAAATCTTCCGGCTGCACTTCAGGCAGCTATGTTACCACGAGATGTCTGGGCCTCAGGAGGCACTGAGCCGGCTGCGGGAGCTCTGCTCCTGGTGGCTGATGCCCGAGGTCCACACGAAGGAGCAGATCGTGGAGCTGCTGGTGTTGGAGCAGTTCATGAACATCCTGCCCAGGGAGCTCCAGATGTGGGTCCAGCTCCGACACCCTGAAACCGGCGAGGAGGCTGTGGCCGTGGTGGAAGATTTCCAGAGATACCTTAGTGGCTCACGGGAGGTGAGTCTACAATGCTACGGTAGACATTCTAGACTGTCTAGATGCTTCTAGAATCCTTCTATAGACTTGGACTCGCCTGGGAAGACAAATTCTTCATTCCCCACACTGTAGGCTGGTTTTCCTTTACGATTCCCAAGTCTGCTCCACTGGTAGGTGCGAAATATTTCTGTGCTGCACGCCATAAGCAAAACTACAAATCTCAACCGTCTTAGTCACTGTCCTGTTGTGCTGAGGAGACACCGTGACCAAAGTAACTCTTACAAAGGCATTTAATCGTGGGCTTGCTTATGGTTTCAGAGATTAATCCATTATATCAGAGAGCGTGGTCACACATGGGCATACATGGTGTTGGAGAAGTAGCTGAGAGCTCCACAGTCTGAGCTAGGGAAGGTAGAGGGGATACTGGGAAACCTCAGAGCCCATCCCTGGTGGTGCTTTCTCCAACAAGACCACACTGTCTAGTCCTTTTGATCCTGTCAAATAGTGCCACTCCCGATGACTGAGCATGCAGATCTATGGGCCTATGGGGGCTGTCCTTACTCGAACCACCGTGGTCCACTCCCTGACCACCATGGGCCTGTAGCCATATCATAGTGCAAAATGCATTCAGGCCAACTTCAAAAGTCCCCACAGTCTATCACAATCGGAACAATGTTTAAAAGTTCAGAGTCTCTTCTGAGACTCAGCAGTCTCTTAACTATAACCTCACCCTTGTAAAATCAAAATCAATATGCAGGATATGTACCGCAATTTCAAAAGGGAGCACCGTGGGGAAACACTTGACTACAGCAAGACAGAAAACCAGCTGGGCAAACCTCAGACTCCGCATCTGCATGTGTAATGCCCCAGGGCTCTTCTGGTCTCCACGGCTTTCAACCTTGCTGACCGCAGCACACTTCTGTCTCTGAAATCTCCTGACGTGGGGCTCCACGACCGATTCAAATTGTCCTTGGCGCTGTCTTCCATGGTCCTACTAGGATGGCCCACTCAGCCCCGCTTAAAGCGTCCAACTGGTTTTCTAGTCCAGAGTCCCAAAGTCTTCCATATTCCTCCCATAAGCAGCATGGTCAGACCTGTCACAGCAGTACCTGAGTCCCTGGTACCGTCTGTCCAGGTCACTGTTCTGTTGCTGTGTGTGAAGAGACACCATGACCAAGGCAACGTCTGGATCTGTAGGCAGAGAGAGACAGACTGGGCCTGGCATTGTCTTTTGAAATCTCAAAGCCCACTTCCTGTGACACAGTTCCTGTGACACACTTCCTGTAATAAGGTGAAACCTCTTAATCCTTCTCATCGTTTTAAATGTATGGGGTTCGTTCTTATTCAGACCACCACAGCAGCCAAGCTCTGAATCAGGGGTGTGTGTGTGTGTGTGTGTGTGTGTGTGTGTGTGTGTGTAGGCTAGAGAACAACCTCAGGTGTTGTTCCTCGGGTGCTGCTCACCTTGGGTTTTGAGGCAGAGTCTCCCTGACCTGGGCAGCCTAGGGGATGTGACTGTATATGCCTTTCCAGGGCTGGGATTACAAGCATGCGCTATCATGCCTGACTTTTTTACATCGGTTGTCAGGACTACATGGAAAGCCCTGTGTTGACTGAGCCATCTCCCCAGGCCTGGTTTGTTCTTGTAAGCGCAGATGAAGGCTCTTGAGTATGTGGGTATGGGCAGAAGATACACTGTAATACACGGTGGTGCCCTACTTTGTGATGACTGGCAGTTAAATACCGCTGAAGTCCTAGTGCTTTACCCAGTACTCCGGCCATGGGTTTCCTTTCCTGCAACTGCCACACTGACCATCCACAGGCAACAAACCTCCTTAGAGACATTTTTCCTGCTACGTCTGCTGTCCTGCTTGTACACGAATGAGTATGGCCACCTTGGTTTTTTTGAGGCAGGCTCTCCATTACCTGGAAATGAGTGGTTAGGCCCGCTGTCTTAGTTAGTTAGGGTTTCTATTGCTGTGAGGAAACACCGTGAGCACAGCAAGTCTTGTATAAGAAAATATTTAATTGTAGTGGCCCACTTACAGTTTCAGAGGTTTAGTCCGTTATTGTCACAGCGGAAAAACAAGGCAGTGTGCAGGCAGACATGGTGCGAGAGAAGGAGCTGAGGGTTCTTCCATCCTGACTCATGGGCAACAGGAAGTGGTCTGACACACTGGGTGTTGTTTGAGCACGTATGAGACCTCAAAGCCCGCCTCCCCAATGACACACTTCCTCCAAGGCCACACCCACTCCAGCAAAGCCACACCCCCCAATAGTGCCACCCCCTTTGGGGGCCATTTATTTCAAACCACCACACTAGGTTCCTGGTCCGTGAGCCCTAGGGAGTCTGAAGTAGGCCTAAGTAGGTCTACGTAGGCCACTAGCTCTATGATTCTTAGAAGACAGGTTTTACAATGTGGCTTAATTCCTATACATGAACATATTACACACATGCATAAAAGTGGGTGGTGCCTGAGCAAAAAAGATAGCTGAAGTTGTCCTCTAGCTCAGAGATGGCTGGCGGGGAAGATTGCGAGCTTGGCAGTTAGCTAGTCGGCTTTATGGGGAGTGCTGGAAAGAGAGCCAGGTTTGGTTCTCCATTTCCTTGGCTCTTTCCTGTGTGCGGTACCTTAGAGGTCTGGGCTCTCTACCTTTAAGTATGCACTTTCGAATCCAGTTCTGTTTCCTTATCTCTAGGTTCTGCCTCCAACACAAGAACAGATGGAATCTCTGAGTGCAGTAGAACAATCTCCTACCTCAACCTGCGGTCAGGGTTCAGACCCTGCAGCCTACTTGGATGCTCTGAGTGACGTAAGAGCACACGACCTCCCTCATGGACACTTCGGTACTTATCTCCCCCGCTCTGTCCTCAAGTCAGTCTCCTTCTGTTCCCTGGGGTCAGTTTGTTTCATCAGCCCAGCTCGTACCCCACTAAAATCCCACACTACCTTTTAGCTGCCCTCCTTCCTTAGTGGCTGTATCCGTCCCCTTTGTCTACTCTCTTATCATACATGTATTTATCAAGTTTTCCTCAAGCATGTCATTGGAAACACTACTAGGTACTGGAGATATACAACATACTGTCATTGTTTTCAAGAGTTATTATCTAGGTGGCAGGAAGTCAGTCATATCCATAAAAATAAGCAACCTCAGAAGATACATTTGGATGAAGCTGGGCATGGTTGATCACATCTGTCATTCTAATATTTGGAAAGCTAAGACAAGAGAATTTCTGAGAGCTGAAGGCTAGCCTGGGCTCCTTAGTAAGTTTTGGGCTAGCCTGTGCTTCAGATTAATACCCTGTGTCAAACAAAACCCGAAACACCAACTATCACAAACAAAAGATGCACATGAATGGCATCTGTCCCCATTGTGAAAGGGGACCATTGGATTATGAGGTAGAATAGGTATAGCACACTGGAGGAACTAGCAAGAGATTTAACAGTTAAAAAGTGGGAGATGGAGGATGGGTACCTTAGTTCACGCCTTTAATCCCAGCCCTTGGGAGGCAAAAGCAGGGAGATCTCTATGAGTTTGAAGCCAGCCTGATTTACATAGCAAGCTCCAGGCCAGCCAGTGAAATCCTGTTTAAAAAAAAAAAAAATGAAGCTTGGGGCTGGAGAGATGGCTCAGTGGTTAAGAGCGCTGGCTGTTCTTCCAGAGGTCCTGAGTTCAATTCCCAGCACCCACACGGCAGCTCACAGCTGTCTGTAACTCCAGTTCTAGGGATTCTGACAACCTCAGACAAACATGGACAAAACATCAGTGAACATAAAATAAATTGTTGAAGCAAAACAAAATAACAACAACAAATGAAAGAAAAGAAAGTGAACTGGATGTTTCTAGAAACAGTGTCCCACTTGTGGCTATGGACCGGTCTGAGAGAGCAGTGAGGACTGAGAAGTAAGATGAGAGAAGATGAGAGCCAGGAAAGAAGGACCCATGGTTGAGGGAGACGGAAGCACAGAGCAGGAGGCTGGAGACCTGCTTTCCCAGGCCCAGGGCCCAGCACCTCCGTGCTGGCTCATCACCACCAGGTCCATGGGACCCAACCCCTGCCGGTCTCCACACCAGGCACAAAACACCCATACTCATAGAATAGGTAAGAGGTTTGGTTGGTTGGTTGGTTTTTTGAGACAGGGTTTCTCTGTGTATCTTTGGAGCCTGTCCTGGCACTTGCTTTGTAGACCAGGCTGGTCTCGAACTCACAGAGATCCACCTACCTCTGACTAAAGGTGTGTGCCCCCAGTGTCTGACAAGATTTTTTTTTTTTTAAGGCAGGAGGGTAAATCAGTCTTGGAAGTGGTAAGGAAATCAAGGAATGTAGTCAGAAGTAGTCAGTCACTTAGGTTGGAGAGGGGCCTGGATGGAACCTCCACTTCTGTTTGACCGAATAATATTTGTAGCACGCTTAGATGAGGCCTCTGGGAGAAGCTGAGAGCTCCCTGGATGCTGCTCGTAAATCCCACCTCCTTGGGCATGTGGGCCTTAGGGAGCGGAGGGCAGGGCTTGACCCACTGAGTTCACCTTTCACCCCAGGGCCTGCGTTTCTTGAAGTGGAGAACACCAGAGCCCGGGTAACTGTGGGGAACTCCACAGCAGCTGCTGTGCTTGGGGTGGCCAGGCCTCCAGTGAGTGTGGCTCTCTTTTTCATGATTGCATGAAGGGTGGATGTGGATGGAGCTCACCTCCAATGTACCTCAACTGGCTCCTCTGGCTCAACTGCCCGGTGCTTCCCCTGGAGCTAGGTCCCCACCCCTGGTTGTGATGGGTCCCATTTAGCAATTTTGTTCTTTTTGATGTGTCAACCCAACTCACTGCACGTTTGTTCTCTGATGCCTGTACTCCCGGAACTCTGCTCTTCTCAACAACAGAAGCTTGTCGTTCCAGGAGATTACAGCTGATAAGGACTGTCTGCAGAAAACGTGGAAAAGCCTGGCACTCAGGCGGAGTGCCCTGTACCAGATCATGATGGAGAAAATGAGCAAAGTGCGGTCTCATCCCCAGTGATGAGCAGTCTGTCCTCTATACATCATATTCACTGTGTCCTTTTCATTTGACTTGTTTTAACTTTTTACTATGAATATTTGCAAACATAAAGTAGATGTGTATGATGAACCTCCCTGCACCCATCACACAGTTTGACAGTGGTCATCATTTTCTTTATTTAATGACGACTGGTCAATGATAGGGAGCTACCTTGGGGTTTCTTGGCCATAAGTAAGAGTCCCTTGGGTTTTGGAAGTCAGGATCTTTGTGTTTGAGGGATTACAAGAACGGGGACCCGGAACAAAGCAGTCATTTTAGGTAGTGGGAAATGACTGTGTGGGGGGACTCAGCGGTGTGAGCGTGTGAGTGTACGCCAGTGCTCTGTGTGACTGCTGGAGCTGCTCTCTGGGTGTTTGTTTTTGGCGCTTTCTTTCCACTGGCACTGATTTGTGAAATCTGGAAACATAGCTGCTTCTCAGTTTTGTTTTCAGACCTCTCTTTTTGTTGTTGTAGGTTTTTGTTTGTTTGTTTGTTTTGTTTTTCAAGACAGGGTTTCCTCTGTGTAGCTTTGGAGTCTGTCCTGGAACTCACTTTATAGACCGGGCTGGCCTCGAACTCACAGAGATGTCTGCCTCTGCCTCCCTATGATGGGACTAAAGGCATGCGCCACCACCGCCCGGCTCCTTATTTAGATCTTACTCCTATTTTGCCTGGTTTGGGGGTCAGAATTTTCTTAGAGTGGATTCTGACCGACAGTGTTTAGTCTCCTCTGCGTGTAGAAAGTCATTGGCCCAGACTACAGCAGATGCTGATGACAAGCTACAGATGAACTAGACTTGGGATTTCTGGTCCCTGGCCAGCTCTAATCACCTGCCACCCCTCGGGGCATATTGAGGATTACTTGATCCAGAGTGTAGTTGTGTGAGATTCCCTCTGCAAAGCCTGAGACCCATCCTGTGATTAGCACACCCAGGACGGTAGCCAACATAACAGGAGGTGGACATGAAAGTTACTAACCTAAATATTTTAAAGTTTCATTTGCTAAAGATGTGCTAGCCTTGGCCTCATTGCAACATGATTTAAAAGAACCAATATTTTGGTATTTGTTGATAACCATGAATGACTACTACACCTTTCCCCAGATTTTGCATTTGAATCTCCAAAACTGCAGACCAGTGCTTAACCTACTTAGTTCCTTATTAGTTCAGAGACAAGATCATAAGGACATGTATCTTTTAATTTATATGTATATAGAACCAGCTTTGCCGAGTCCTAGCTCTGCTGCCCTGCTCAGCACTGCTCTGACCCATGCACACGTTTCCACTGGCATGTCACAGAAGTCAGTTTGAACTCTTACCACGTTGTCACAGTGGAAATTCTCATCAATTCATTGCTATCTTTGCTGTCTTTCTTTCTTTCCAACCTTCCCTTCCTCCCTCCCTCCCTCACCAACTCCCCCCACTCTCTTCACAGGTCTTACTTTGTAGCTCTGTCTGGCCTGAAACTCTGTAGACCAGGCTGACCTCGATCTCACAGAGATCTACCTGCCCCACCTCCCAAGAGCTGAGATTAAAGGCACCACTACACATGGTCCAACAATGTCATGGTGGAGAGGAACCTAATTCAGCATTCACTAAGAAGACAGTATCATAATCACTTTAGAAGATGATGAGACATTGTGCTATACAATCTATCTCTTTCTTTCCAGTCTTTCTCCTACCTAGGCTGTACTAGCTCAAGTTCCCTCCACCCTGACCTTTCCTCCCTATTCTCCTGTATGGGCCCTTGTCCCTCTGTGTTTTAATATCCCTGAAGAAGAAAGGGAACTATTTTCTCTCTACTTCTCAATATGTTGCCTCATTTCTTAATGATAATGTGACTTTTTTTTTTCAGCTACAAAGCGAAAAAAAAGTGAGTGAAATTGTTTTCTTCTTTCTTTTAGCAGCAGGTAAGAACAGGATGGAAAGTTGTGAGTGCACATCAAAGCATGACATTTCTAAAGGGCCAGGTTCACCTGACACATCCTCGGATGAACTCTTTGGAGTGGCCTTGGCAGAACCAGAGTCTGGCGTTATCTGTGAAGATCCTTTAGCACAGGTGGAATGGCAGCCTTCAGGTAAAGAAGAGCATGGATGAGAATGTGATTTCTTTGAGAAGAAGGATAAGAAAAATTCCACAAAGGACAGAGACAAAGAATGTGAAGATGTAGGAGAACATGCAAATCTTCCGTCTAGTTCTTTTGAGAAGCAGCGAGGGGCAAAGAGACAAAAGTTCTATCAATGTGATAAGTGTGACAAAGTTTTTAATCAGAGCTCACTCTTCCTTGGACACCAAAGAATCCACAATGGAGAGAAACACTATGAATGTAGTGAGTGTGGGAAGACTTGTCATCACAGTTCCCATCTTACGCAGCACCAGAGTCTCCATAATGGGGAGAGGCCTTATAATTGTAATGAATGTGCAGAAGCTTCCCCTCAGAGTTCCCCTCTGCTTGACCACAAGAGAACTCACACTGGGGAGAAGCATTATCAGTGCAATGAGTGTGCGGAGGCCTTCATTCAGAGTAAAAGTCTCATCCGGCATCAGGTCCTTCACACTGGAAAGCAGCCCTATGAATGTAATGCATGTGGGAAATCCTTCTGTTCCAATAGAAACCTTATTGACCACCAGAGAATCCACACTGGGGAGAAACCGTATGAATGTATTGAGTGTGGCAAGGCCTTCAGTCGGAGTAAATGTCTTACTCAGCACCAGAGTCTCCACACTGGGGAGAAGCCACACAAATGTAGTGAGTGTGGCAAAGCCTTCAGTCAGAACTCTCAGCTTATTGACCATGAACGGATTCATACTGGAGAAAAACCTTTTGAATGCAGTGAGTGTGGCAAGAAATTCAGTTTAAGTAAATGCCTTATTCGGCACCAGAGACTTCACACGGGAGAAAAGCCCTATAATTGCATCGAGTGAGGGAAATCCTTCAATCAGAACTCTCACCTCATTATACACCAGAGAATTCACACTGGTGAGAAACCTTATGAATGTAGTGAGTGTGGGAAGGTCTTCAGTTACAGTTCCAGCCTTATGGTTCATCAAAGAACCCATACTGGTGAAAAGCCCTATAAATGTAAAGTTCGCATGAAAGCCTTTAGTGACAGTTCACAGCTTATTGTGCACCAGGGAGTCCACACTGGTGAGAAGCCTTACGAATGTAGTGAGTGTGGGAAAGCCTTCACTCAGCGTTCCACTTTTAACCACCATCAGCGAACTCACAATGTGGAGAAGCCCTCGAGGCTGTTTCAGACACCATCTTAAGGCTTGGTTCCCTAAGACAGATAATAGGGAATTCTGAGTTAGTTTTGTAGGAAGAATATTCATCATATTACCTTGGAAGTATTAATCAAATGATCATTGCGTAGTGCTTTCCATTTGGCCACTAAGGTAGGAGAGTAAAAATAAATTAGTATAGTCTTTCCTTCCTCACTATTGGAAAAGTAGGAACCACATATTTTATTTACTTCTAGCATTTTATTTTTTAAACTATCTTAAAGTAAATTTTTTTTTAGTTTTGCATTCCACAATTTGTGATTTTCTTTTTTTAAAAAATATTTTTTCTTATGAAATCTCTGGATTTTCTTTCTTTTTGTTTGTTTGTTTGGTTTGTGTGTGTGTGTGTGTGTGTGTGTTTCTAGACAGGGTTTCTCTGTATTGGAACCTGTCCTGGAACTCCCTGTGTAGACCAGGTTGGCCTAGAACTCACAGAGATACCCCTGCCTCTGTCTCCCAAGTGCTGGGATTAAAGGCTTGCACCACCAACACCTGGCAAATTTGTGATTTTCAAACACAGAGATAATATCTCTACTTCATCCTAACTTCTCAATTTTATGATTTACTCAAAGACATACAAGACTCTCTTCATTTACTTTGTCCCCTCACATTTTTAATGTATGGGTATTCTACCTACATGTACGTCTGTGTACCACTTATGTGTCTGGCGCCTACGGAGGCCAGAGTAGGTCATCAGGTCCCCTGGAACTGAATTTACAGATAGTTGCCAGCCATCATGTAGACAATGGGGATCAACCCTGAGTCCTTTGGCAGAGCGGCCAATGCTCTAACGTGGCTTTTACTTAAGTGCATCATACAGGACAAGGAACCTCATTTTCTTTACTACTGTGTGTGAGGGAAAATTACTCTCCAAGACCAAGAGTAATAGATGATTATGGGCGGCCACGTGCTTTTACCTGCCAAGTCTTCTCAAAGAGCAACCAGTGCTCTCAAAGGTTGAGCCATCTGTCTAGTTCCGTGTGTCATTATTATAGTCATTATTATTATGAGGATGTTGGTCATGGGTTTGTTTCTTTTGGGGTTTTTTGTTTGTTTGGTTTGGTTTTGGATTTTTTGCCGTTTTGTTTTAAGAAGGGGGTCTCACTTTTTAACTCTGGCTACCCTGGAACTCACAATATAGCCTACGTTAACCTGCCTCTGCCTCCCGAATGCTGCAATAAAGGTGTTTGACACAAATCAAGAGATTTTTAAGTTCTGACCTATGTGGGGGCTACTGGCTTGTGCTGCCATGGCAAAGACCGCAGTTCAGTTCCCAGCACCCACAGCAGGCAGCTCACAACCCAACCACTCCAGCTCCAAGAGATCCAGCGCCCTCTTCTGGTCTCCTGAATTCAAATGCACTCAACTACACACAGACATAGTATACATAATTAAAAATAATATAAAATCCTGACCTGTGTTGGGAGATGGCTTTTGTCTAGATATTAACTTCCAAGCTGGGTGTGGTGCATGCATGCATTTAATCCTAGCACTTGGCAGACAGACAGATTTCTGTGAGTTTGAGGCCAGCCTAGCCAGGATTATGTAAAGAGACCTGTCCCAACCCTCTTCCCCACCCTCCCAAAAGGTATCAGATATCAGATGGCTACAGGTTTCCAAAACATGCTTCATCTATGCTAACAGTTCCTTCCCTCCCTCCTTTCCCTCCCTCCTTTCCCTCCTCCCTCCCTCTTCTCCTCCCCTCTCCCTCTCTCCTTCCCTCCTTCCTTCCCCCCTCCCTTCCTCCCTCTTCACTAGGTAGTAGCTACCCTGTGTTTCTTTTATATCTGCTTTTACTTAAGTGCAGCATACAGGACCTCATTTTCTTTACTACTGTGTGTGAGGGAAAATTAATAACTAAAAGATACGGGACTCATGGCAAGATGGGAAAACCAGAAAGAACGAGTGCTTCTGCCAATAGATATAGATAGCTCCTCGGCTGGAGAGTACATTCTCCCTGCCCCCCCCCCCCCTTATCTTAAAGATGAGGCCACTGAGCCTGCTGGTCCTAGAGAAAGAAAACCCCCTAACCTTGCAGGTGGCTAAACAATCCCGCCTTGTAAAAACTGTGTACTCTGTGAAATCTCTGTAACCTTGGAAACCATATGGGCTGAGACTAGCAGTCTCAAGCCTGCCTTTCCCTTTAAAAATGCTTCTTAATTGTAAGCGGGCGCCTTACTCTTCTTATACAGTGAGGTCCCAGCCCGTTCCGTTCTTAGCAATGGAAATCTTTTGCTTTTGCAGTCAGGAATCAATTCCTTGGAGGTTGAGGAAACCCGTCTAAGCACCCACCAATACATATTTTTACACGCTGCAGTAAAAGATAGTTGATCCTGGCTGTGAGGCTGTCTCCGGAAAAGGACTTTTGCTACTTCTGGGAGCCTCAATGTTAGGCAGAGAGGCTTCTCTGACCAAGTAATTGGTTTCATAGAACCTTGCCCAGGTTCCATAGAATCGCTTGTCATTAGTTGAACTCTCCAAGTCCGTCCTGCCATCCAGAAGTGGTGCTATCTGGAGGCAGATATCGCTGCATATTTTCAGGTTCCGAGCTACAAAGGAACCTGGATAACCCAGCTCTGGGGCACAGAGATGCCGAGACCTCCGGTTGCCTAGAAGGGCGTGAGGGACAGAGGGGCAAGTCGGCTGGACCACTCAGCCAGGGGTACAGAGATGCGGAGACCTCCGGGTGCCTAGAAGGGCCGCAGGCTCAAGGAAGAGGAGCAAATCGCCGCTGCAGTTCCCGGCTTTGTTCCCAGGACTGCGTGTGGTTCCGGGAGCGGTCGGCGGCAGCCAGCTGAGCATCGGGCTCCGGCGAGCGCTGCCTCCCTGGATCCCGGGGATGCCTGCCTTTGTCTAGCATCTCCTCTGCACGCTGGAGGAATGACGGGACCCGCTCAGGCTATCCGGCCTGGTCCAGCTCGCTCCAGGCTCTCCCAGGACTACCCAGCCACTGAGCGTTTGGCTGCCTTCGCCAGTCCAAGCCCAGCTGTGTCACCAGTGAGGATACTGGGATTGGGTGGAAGGGGTAGGCTTGCCCAAGAAATTCACTGATGCATTCAGCAAACACCCATCGCTTACGAGTTTGCTGGACGCTGGGGATACAGTGTATACGAGGCAGATCACCCGAAAGGGAAGATATGGAACAAGTTTAGTGGGTGACCCTGCCCTGTTCATCAAAAGGGAAACAGCATTTCCCGAGGCATAACAGAATTAAGAAGTGAATAATTAGGAAAACATCTAGGGTCCATTTAAGACTTTATGTTTAATATCGATTATTGTTATTATTACTACTGTTATCATTTGAGATAGGCTGGCTTGAAACTTGCCCTGTAGACCGGGTTGGCCTTGAACTCACACAGATCGGCCTGCCTCTGCTTCTCAAGTGCTGGGATTAAAAGCATATGTGGCCACCATGCCCAGCTACCAGACTTTTTGAAAAAAAAAAAAAAAAAAAAAAAACAAGTGATACTATTATTGTGTAATGTGTGTGCATAGGTGCCAACACTTGCGCCACAGCCTAGTGTGAAGATCAGAGAACGTCGTGTCTCTCCCTTCCACCGTGGGAAGTGAGTGACCCAAGGTCTTGTGCAGGTATGTGGACTAAGGCCACTTGCTGAGCCAAGGCACCAACCCTCTTCTAGTCAGTCTCTCTTCTTAAAGACATCATTATTTTATTCGGTGTGTGTGTGTGTGTGTGTGTGTGTGTGTGTGTGTGTGTGTGTGCACGCACATGTAGAAGTTAGAGGACAACTTTGTGGAGAATCTTAGACCAGCTTGGCAAACAGATTCACACGCTGAGCCATATGTGATGTGGGGGTGGTATGTGCACATAAGTGCAGCCACCGTCAAAGCCTGGAAGAGGGTTGGAGTTCAGGTAGTTGTGAGCCACCATGTGCAGAGTTTCTGTCCCGCCTCGTCCCACAGCTGTTTAGCCGCAGATAGACACGCAGAGGCGTATATTAACCATAACCTGCTCGGCTGATGGCTCAGGCTTGTTATTGGCTAACTCTCTTAATTATTAACCTAAGTATTAACTTACGTATTAACCTAAGTAGTATTAATCTAAGTATTTCCATGTGGTCTTGGCTTACCAGAGAATGCCTAGGGTCCTGCCTTCCCGGTGGCTACATGGCAGCTCCTCTCTTCATCCTCTCTCCAGAATTCTCCTCCTCTGGTAGCCCACGTATACTTCCTCCTTGGCTACCGGCCAATCAGTGTTTTATTCATCCACCAATAAGAGAAACATATATACCGAGGACGGCTCCCATCAAGCCACCTGCTGGACTTCAGGGGAATTCCCAGCTGGAGTGTGTTTTGCGATATGGCTCACTTCAGTTGCCCACAGAAAAGGTGAAAAGGAGTGAGTGTTTTTGATGTGTTAGAAGGAGGATTTCTTTCAGACACACAAGGCTTGATCTAGAGCAAGTCATTCCGTCTCTGGGGACCTCATTTCTTCCTCTTTAAAATGAGGATGATGGTGCTATTGTTCAGTTCTACAGGCCAGGAGGTTAACAAAAGACGGGATGCTATGCTGAGTGAATGTTTGCATGTGAGGTCTCAGAGAACTTTCATTGTATCTGTTTACAGTGACACAAAAGCCCCTCAAGAGCTTCTGCATTGAACCCAAGGAGGCAATCAGGCAGAGTTTGTGCTGGGCAGACAGGACCTTTGGAGGGAAGCTACTGTGCATGAGGATGAGGGTGAGTTACTCTCTTCTCTCCTCAATAGGCCACAGCCAGTCAGAAAAAATGGGGATCAGGATTGGAAGGAATCCTTTCCTGTCTGCTCCTTTCAATCACACACACACACACACACACACACACACACCGCTTTGTCTGTTTTGAGATAAGGCCTCAGATACCTCAGGCCACACTCACAATTGCTATGTAGCCAGGGCTGGCTTTGAACTCTGATCCTCCCGCCTCCACCTCCCAAGTGCTGGGATTATATGCTTACACTACTGTGTCTGGCAGACAGGGGGGCTTTCTTGAGGATGTTATCAGGTAAGAGAAAACACAGAAATGAGAGGGGAAACCTCTGCACCTTGAGGGATAGAGTCTGGGTGATGGGAAAGAATGATATGAAGAGGCTCAGACTTGGGTGCCATGACACTCGGAATCGGACCCTAGTGCTCCCGTTGGGTCCTGGTGCTCCCGTTGGGTCCTGGTGCTCCCGTTGGGTCCTGGTGCTCCCATTAGGTCCTGGTGCTCCCATTAGATCCTAGTGCTCCCATTGGATCCTGGTGCTCCCGGTGGATCCTGGTGCTCCCGGTGGATCCTGGTGCTCCCGGTGGATCCTAGTGCTCCCGGTGGATCCTGGTGCTCCCGGTGGATCCTGGTGCTCCCATGAGGTCCACTTTCTCTCTGCCCATTTGGATATAAGTCTCAGAGCAATTTCCTGTGAGTTTGAGGTCAGCCTTGGCTACTTAGTAAGACCCTGTCTGAAAACAAGAAACAAAAGAAAAAAATAGTCTGGTGAGCTAATAAGTCTCTTCCAGCTTCCAACATTCTGACGGTCTGTGAATAGTGTGACTGGTCAGTTTCTTAGGAAATGTTGGCTCTTGGATGATTATATTGAGATACGGTTGCTAATACTACAAATACATTGTTGTATTTATTTAGAATGTGGAGTGTTTTTGTTTTGTTTTTAAATTATTACAGCCTGGCATGGTGGTGCATGCCTTTAATCCCAGCATTTGGGAGGCAGATCTAGGTGAGTTCCAGGCTAGCCTGGTCTACTTAACAAGTTCTAGGACAGCTAGAGCTACATGACAGAAAGGCCTTCTCTCTCTCTCTGTCTCTCTCTCTCTCTCTCTCTCTCTCTCTCTCTATGCGTGTGTATGTATGATTTTATTATATATATGTGTGTGTGTATGTATGATTTTATTATATATATGGGTGTGTATGTATGTATGATTTTATTATATATGTGTGTATGTATGATTTTATTATATGTGTGTGTGTGCATGCGTGTGTGTTCACTTACATGTATGTATGTGCGCCTTGTGCATGCCTGGTGTCCACTAAGGCCAGAAGAGGTGTCTGAGCCCCTAGAACTGGAGTTACAGAAGGTTGTGAGCTGCCATGTGGGTGCTGGGAATTGAACCCAGGTCCTCTGGAAGAGCAGTCAGTGCTCTTATCTGCTGATCTATCTCCAACTCCTACAATATGGAGTCTTAAAAGGGGAAGAAGAATGATAGTTGTGGCGTGCAGTGAACTCACCTTGCACCGTCTCTGAGAGCACTCACATTAGCTAAAATCATGACCATGTTCAACGTAGCACTGCAGATAACGTTTGCTAAGCGCTCCAGGGACGGGCAGGGTATGTCACAGGCGAGTGTGGCAAGGCCCTGTTCTCTAGGGCTGTAGAGCTTAAAGTGTGCATTTGGGAGAGGGGGACACCAGCAATTGTTCTGCAAGGCCACCTCCTGTTTATATTTCACTTTTTTTAAAGCACAGAATGTTTTATGTAGTCATATATTGTATTTTTTTCTGTTAACGGTCTCAACCTCTGTTGCAGTAAGGCCTTTGTCTCTGAGGTCAGGTAGACCCTTGATTTTTTTTTTTCAGTTTAAACATCTCCCTTGTTTGTCTCTTGAGCTTTCGATTAGTAAATTTATTATTATTATTATCATTATTATTATATCTAGGAGTGGAGTGCAGCGTCCTTGGGGAAAGCCCAGCCTTTTCAGATCTTTCAATGCTTGCCTGAGTTTGTGCTTTGGGGGCTATTTGTCTAGATACCCTTAATGCCCTACTGACACCTCAGCTTTGTATCTTTCTCTCAGACACCCTGAGGGTATTTCCTATCCAAGCAAGCACAGGGTAGCATTGGTTAGATTTCCTTCTGTTCAAACCCTCAGCGTAGCTTATAGACCAATTTTTATTAAATAAAGTAAAGAATGTAGGGTGTAAGGGCACACCTCCCGTATGTTTAACTCTTCAGCCGTCAGCCTGAAAGGCAGCAGAATAAGAGGAAAGGTAGCCATGCATAGGTGTTAATGGAGTCACCGTCACTGTGCTCTCACAGTTCAGTGACTCCGCATTTGAGGCTTGCTGAGGTTACCTACACGTGCAGAGTCTCGTGTCCAGTGGATTGGAAGATCCATGTTTATTCCGGATACCTGGTTTCAGTCCCTCTTCATGGTGCTGTCCCCGACTCTCTTCACCGTCTTTTGGGACTTTACTGTTATACCTTGCATGGTCCTGGCAGAGGCTCTCTCTTTATTCTTAAACTCTGTCTCTCAATTTAGCCTTTCAGGTTTACACAGTATCGTTTTCGTAATGAATAACATGCTGAAAAACAGACACCTGAAATTAGCATAAAGAGCTGACTTCAGCCGCAGGTAAGCCCTGGAAGCTATGCTGTGTGTAGTTCAGTGTCAGTATTAGAAGGATGATGTGACCAGCCACCAAGCATCGAGAAAGAGAGAGAGAGAGAGAGAGAGAGAGAGAGAGAGAGAGAGAGAGAGAGAGGTGGGCTGGGGTTATGAGGGATGTCCTTCTGTATATATGCTTCTCTTATTGGTTGATGAATAAAACACTGATTGGCCAGTAGCCAGGCAGGAATTATAAGTGGATCTATAAGATGAGGAGATTTCTGGGCAGAGGAGGCAGAGAGAGGCCACCAGAGAGATACCATGTAGCCTCTGAAGGAGTAACAGGTCCAGGCATTCACTGGTAAACAAAGACCACATGGAAACACTTAGATTAATAGAAATGGGTTAATAAATAAGAGACAGCTAGCCAATATGAAGCCTGAGCCATTGACCAAACAGTTTATAATTAATATAAGCCTCTGTGTGTTTATTTGAGGCTAATTGGCTGTGGGACCAGGCAAGAAGGAAATTCCATCTACACTGGGACCTGGTGCCCAGACCGCTAAAAAGAGATGAAACTTTAGTAGTACCCTAAAACAATCTTAGTTGCTGTTCTGTAGTTCTGAATGTTTGCTATGTGCCAGCCACTGCATCACTGTTGCCAAGGAAGTAGTTCAGCCAGACCAGTCTGAAAATTAGGCGGTGTTTCAACTAGTGGGGCCAAGGGACCTTTCAGGGTACTTTTTCTTGGTACGAGATTATATACTTCACCCTGCCTTCCAGGTACTTTGCTTCCATTTTAGAGAGTTGGGCAAGAAGAAAGAGTAGGTTTTATATTGTTGATTGCATGTTTCGAGACTGGACCTGCTGTGTTCTTCTTCAACCCTGTCTTTAACTTTTTATTACCTTTTGTCTAACTTTTGTCACTTTTTATCATTTTGACCAGCTCTCTGCCTTTGAACACTTGCCTTTCTACGTGAGACACTGGTCTACTACATCTTGTCTTTCTTGAATAGTTCTTACAGAGAAACTAGGACTTGTACGCTTCCTCTTTCTCCAGTCAGACGGTGATATAGACTGAGGATGGTATTGATTCAAAAGAGACATTCCTGGAAAACCAGGATCACGTTTAACCCTTGAGAATTCCACATAGGTGTTGCCAAGGAAGTAAAAAAGTTAAAAGGAAACGGTAAGAGCCATTGGAATGCTCTCCAGCAGGAGAAGATGAGAAGAAAGACAAGAAAGTTCGAACATAAGGCGTCCGAAGACAGTCAATCACCCACAGAAGGGAGTGAGCGAGAATGTGAAAACGATGGTAGTCAGGGTTGTGACTCTCCGGCACATGAGAGAGCTCACAGTGAAAAGAGACGGTATGTGTGTACAGAGTGTGGGAAAGCCTTTAGTCAGAGTGCCAACCTCACCGTGCATGAGAGAATCCACACAGGAGAGAAACCGTATAAGTGTAAGGAATGCGGGAAAGCTTTCAGTCATAGCTCCAACCTTGTGGTTCATCGGAGAATCCACACTGGACTGAAGCCATACACATGTAGTGAGTGTGGCAAGTCATTCAGTGGTATGTCACATCTCAGCCGGCACCGGGGCATCCACAGCGGAGAGAAGACATTTGAATGTAAAGAGTGTGGGAAAGCCTTCAGTCGGAGTTCAGGACTTATCTCCCACCACAGAGTTCACACGGGAGAGAGGCCCTACACTTGTATTGAGTGCGGGAAAGCGTTTAGCAGGAGTTCAAACCTTACTCAACATCAGAGAATGCACAGGGGCAAAACCATTTACAAATGTAAAGAGTGTGGGAAAACCTGTGGCTCTAACACGAAGATTATGGACCATCAGAGAATTCACAGTGGAGAGAAGCCGTACGAGTGTGGCGAGTGTGGGAAGGCCTTCATCTTAAGGAAGGCCCTTAGTGAACACCAGAGACTTCATCGTAGAGAGAAACCGTATAAATGTAACGAGTGCGGGAAAGCTTTTACTTCTAATCGAAACCTCATCGATCATCAGAGGGTTCACACCGGAGAGAAGCCTTATAAATGTAACGAATGTGGGAAAACCTTCAGGCAGACATCTCAAGTGATTCTACATTTGAGAACCCATACTAAAGAGAAACCGTATAAATGTAACGAGTGTGGGAAAGCCTATCGTTATAGCTCACAGCTTATTCAGCATCAAAGAAAGCATAACAAAGAGAAAGAATCCTTATTGTTTGTGGGTCAGGTTTGATGGCCTTTCATCTAAGCATTTAGGAGGCAGAGACGGGGACATCTCTGTGAGTTCTAGACCAGCCAGGGCCACACAGTGAAACCCCCGTCTTAGAAAAAAAAGAAAAATTGGCTATAAGGCTAATCACTACTTTTCTGAAAATTAGGTTTTTAGTAACATTTAAAGTCAATTCTGCTTCTAAGAATCCATACAGGGAAAATAATAAGTGGCTAAAGTTTAACAAAGACATATTCATGCCGACGTTATCCATAGCTAAGAGGGGGAGAAAAATCACCATAGATTATTACATGTGCAGGGTGACGTAAGTGATAGTCTATTGCTTTGGAAGAAGTTTTTAATGTGTGCCATGGGGGAAATTTTGAATAAAATGGAAAGTTAAAGAATTAAATATCCAGATAAAATATTTTGCCCAGGGAAAATGGGGAAAGAGAAAAAGGGCCAAACCTAAGTTCCAATGACGATTATCTCTGGGTGATGGGTTGTAGGCGATTTCTATTTTCTTCTGCATCCTTTCCTATGCTTTCTGGATTTTCTACAATGAGAGGGTTACTTTTATATATAGGAAAAAGTATAATCTATTATAATGTAATGAGCGCACCCTCATTTTTATTCAGTGGTGGTAGGAAAAGTACCTATCATGTAGTCTTAAGATGCGCGGGATGCAGCCTAATACTTTCTACTAGCAAAACCAATGCTGCCTTTTGTTCTCTGCAGTTTTAAGGTGAGCTGACTCTGTGATCACTGTTGGTTAAAAGAACACAGCAAAGGAATCTCGGGCACCTTCTCTTCCTTGATAGTAGAATAATCATCCACGATTGACAGCTCTCTGAGCTCCATCCTCCCAGAAAATGTATAGATGATTAGGAAAGAAAAATTTCTCCTAATGAACTGCAATACACACTGTAAAGATTTGTCACTCTTACTGGTTTAATGAAACACTCATTGGCCAGTAGCCAGGCGGGAAGTATGGGCGGGGCTACCAGACGAGGAGAATTCTGGGAAGAGGAAAAGGCAGAGATGCAATGGCCATCCAGATGCAGAGGAAGCAAGATGAGAGAATGCCTTACTACTGAGAAAAGGTACCAAGCCACGTGGCTGAACGTAGATAAGAATTATAGGTAAACTTAAGTTGTAAGAGTTTGTTAGTAATAAGCTTGAGCAATAGGCCAAAGAGTTTATAATTAGTACAAGCCTCTGTGTGTTCATTTGGGACAGAAACTACCTTCAGGGACAAATCTCCATTCTAAAATGTTCAGTATAAATAAAAAACAATGCTTTCACATTGTTAGTTTTTTGTTGTTGTTGTTGTTGTTGCCGTTAGCAGGCTAACTATAATCACCTCTAATCTTATAAAATCAAAGTCGAAGCATTCTTCTTGCAGGAGGTAGTGATTCCTTCAATAAATGTTGTTTCTTGAGTCATCACCTTAACCTCGCCTTTTTGCCGCATTCTGAATGGAAAGAAATCAGCTTGAGCCACTTCAAGGAGCTGGCTGTTCTTAGAACGATGAAGTGATTGCTCCAATATAACGTCACTTCTCACAGTTACCTAAGTAGAGCTCTTGAGCCATTAGACAAAACCATTTCCCCACGCTAAGACTTACGTGGCAGAGGTGACTACAGAACACTCCATAGGACATCTTTGTGTAACAAGTATACTTCAAACTACACCCCTGCCTGGGTAGCAATTATTTCCATTGTATTTTGGGCTGCTCCAGGTTAGCAGTTTCAAGAGTTGTGAAGGTGAAGTTGGTCAGTCCAGTTGGTACAGGTCAGGGTGCAAGGCCCTTTTTCCATCACAGCAGGCCGTGAGATTTTGTGGATTCTCAGCTTGTTTGTGCTAGACTGCATGCAAGCTGGCATTGTTAGAGCCTAGTTAGCCGCAGAAACTGCCCTAAGCTGCTACCCACAATTTCCCGAGACTAGGCTGCAGTGCCCCCATCCCAGGAGTAAACCACAAACATTCCTTCCCCTTCTAATCGGTTGTCCCAGAACCCCTGGGAACACCAATCCATAGTGGTTCCGATCGAGATCCCTGATAAGCTGACAGTTTGTCACCGTGGAGAGTCCCCAACCACTTCTCCCAGTATTACATTGGATAGGACTCACAAGCTATCTCTGTGATTTTTGTCCTTTAAAGGTGGCTGCTGTTGCAGGGGTGGGTGGGGGTGTTGAGGCAGAGGCAGGTGGATCTCCATGAGTTGGAATCCAGCTTGGTCTGCAGAGCTAGTTCTAGGATAACCAGGGCTACACAGAGAAAAACAAAAAAACAAAAAACAAAAACAAACCTGGCTGCTGCCCCTGCCTCTGGAATGCAGTTTGGAGTCCGAATCCTGCCCTGATATATCAGTTTTTCTAAATAAATGTTAAGCTTGCTCAAATCCGGTGTTTGGTGGTGAATTATTCCAGGATTCTTGGACCCTAACAGCATGACTTTTCCAAGACATGTTCACAGATAAACATTCACAGCAGTGAAGAGAAGATGCTCTCTGATTCAGGTCCTGGCTCTACCAACCCCCTTTCTCCCTGAGGCTGACTTTAGGGTCCTGAGTGCTCAGTTTCAGTGAGGGTAAAAGCTTATGTAGGCAGAGGAGTACTTGGATTTCAAAGCCTTGCAAGGTAGTTGGCAGAAAAAGTATTCTAGTTTATTCCTCCTTTGTTTCCAGTATTAGGACAATATTGTCTATCTTAAAGGGTTCTTGTAAAGGAGCAAAGTATGAAAAGGGCAGACACATAACAAGCGATGTTTACATTCTAGTTTTTGTGTGTTTGCTTGATACCCTAGATGTTCTGATTGGAAATTTAGCTTAATCTAAATGTGCACTTCCCTGCCTGGAAACAGCATTGCCTCTGAGCCCACGAGTCATGGAGATTCAGCTTCCGAGAATCAGGATTGGGGTAACGGGATGTCACTGTATCTGGCAGGGTCATGATTCTGGGCTTAGTTGTCTACTTCCAGTGTTATCTGTGGGCAGCCAGGCCCTGAGAGCTGGAGGGCAGGGTAGGGCAGGAAGTGGACACTGAGGGCACAGAAGGAGGGAGGGGCCTCTGGCAGTATGCCAGGCTACTGTGGACTTGTCCCCTGAGAGCTTCTGTCATCCCAACCGCAGGGATGCTGAGGCAGGAGGATCAGGAGTCCCAGGTGGGGCTTGGGTCAGGGTGGTAGGGAGAAGGCAAGCGTGAGCTCAATAGGCTGGTTCACCACATCAGGGCTGACAATGCTTCTGCAGATGGATTTGCTTTTGTGTTTAGGGATGGGTCAGTTGTCATCCAACTTTATAACTTAACGGAACTGAAAAAGCAAATCATTATCTTTACAGAGGAATACATTTTATCACAAGTACCAAGGCTGTAAACTCAGAAAAAAACAAACAAACAAACAAAACAACAAACAAAACGTCATCCTCTGCCAAAAGGCTTTGCCAATCTGGTGATGACTATAGGTCACTACTGTGTTTCAGCCTAACAGATTAAAACTTTATCTTGGACTAGTGATAGGAAACAGGTGTCACATTGAAGGACCAAAATTAAAATTAATAAAAGTTTAAAAACTTGGGCCCTAAATCTATACAGAGAAGGGGAACTTCTAATGGTAAAGGAAAATTTAACCCGTTAAATCACGGGTGCCATGGCTGGCGCCTGAGCCCCACTCTCAGAGAAGGGGAGGTGACTATCCACCACTTATGTCAAATGTTCCTGTGTCTGCTAATTGGTTGTCATAAAGGTTTCTTGCCAGATGTAAAGATCTCCTGGCCCAGGGGATAATTGACAGACCCTGTGACTCTGTAACCCTGCAACCCTGTGCTCTAATCTTGCTCAAATGTATCTTGCTTAAGATATATAGTTACTGCTTTGCTCTGTACTTTGAAAGACCTTAAATAACCATGGAAACTCTGAAACTTGTGGCCTTCAGCTGTGGTCTGTCCCTTTAAAAGTTACCCTTTATGACTGGAGTGAGATCCAAGCTGGCCAGCTTGAACAATAAAAAGAAACCTTTGTGTTTGCGTAGGAATTGTCTGGCTCCTTGGGTTGGTCTGGGGCTCTGTGAGCCCGGCACAACACCATGTCTCATCTTAAATGGTACTGTTTTGGATTTGGGGGCTTAGGATCCTTGGATTCATAGTCTGCTCCTATGCTGTAGCCCAGTGTGTGAATCACTCAGCCTCTGCACCGTTTGCTTTGGATTGCTGCCTCATACACCTTTTTTGGGGGGAAGAAAAGTGTGGGGTTTGCTTTGATCTGCCAAGTATCGAACTGTAAGGAGCAGGTGAGATAGCTCACTTGTCAATAAAGTTGATGAAAGAGGTACGTATGGTCAGAGTACACGACATGATGTGAATCTGTTTGTGTCAGAATTACTACAAAGATGCTCATTTGTGTAAGAGGAATTTTAATTTACAACTTTAAAGAATCGATTTTTAAAATAAAGCTGGGCGGGGGAGATGCTGAGGAGATTGCTCAGAGTTTAAGAGCTCTGGCTGCTCTTCCTGAGGACCTGGGTTCAATTCCCAGCACCCACATGGCAGCTCACAACCGTCTGTAATGCCAACACACGCACACAGTCATACATGCAAGCACAACACCAATGCACATAAAAAATAAAAAGGAATCATTTAAACAAACAAACAAACAAATAAACAAACAAAGCTTGGGGCTGGAGAGCAGGCTCAGCAGTTCATATGATGTGCTTCTTCAGGGATCCGAGCACAGTTCACCCATTTAATCTCGCATACCTGTACTATGGGATACTTAACCATGAGGTAGATGGTTTCAAAGTCGTGGTGACCCTCCAGCCACAGCCTTTCAAGAGCTGGGGTCCCAGGTGCTAGATACTGTAAGATTATTTAAGTGAGTGAAGAGTCCTGTCTTGTAGCCTTGCATTTTTCCTTTCAAACACACAAAATTAAAAAGCTCTAACTGTTGTGCTGCGACGTTTATTTGGGGGCAGGGAGCAATTTTGAAATGTTTGTGGGGATTTCTGGTTTTGGTTTTGGTTAGATTTGGTTTTTGGTTTTGAGACCGGGTCTCAACCTCCAGGGCACAGAGATCCACTAGACTCTGCTTCCCAGGTGCTGGGATTAAATGGTGTGTGTGCCACACCACTTTTGGCAGATTTGAAATATTTTAAGGTGGTTGAACCTGAATATGAATGGTTGTAATTTTTCTTACGGGCCATGATGGTTACTTGGAGAACATTCTTAAGGGATACATATTGAACGCTTGAAATAAAACGTTTTGATGTTTATTATTTCTAAAACTGACCTTAATCATATATGGGAATTAAGGCAAATGTCTAGATCAATGGTAAGGCTATTCACGATCATTCCTTCAATTTTTTTCTGTACCGCTCGATATTTTGAAAATAAAAGTGTTTTCTGCAACGGTTCGGCAGCTCTGGATAGGTGCGCGCCTTCCAAGATGCCCCTGCCCTGCCCGCTAATACCCGGCCTCCCCAGTCTCGGAACTCCTGGGAAAGGCACCGCAGGGGACGACATCCCACATTCCTAGAGAGGTCGGCCTGTCGACGGGGGAGCCGGAAGCCCTTCCCGAGGCACTTCCTGTCCGGTCATTGTTCTCTGCCCGGCTGTAGCAGGGAGGCTCTGCGATCTCAGTCCGCGGAAGTGGCGCTGGCGGGCTGGGCCGCCGTGGTGAGCGGGTCTCGGCGGGCGGGGAGAGGGGCAGGATCGCCCTGCGCCGACGCTCGCTTCCCCGGGCCGGGAGGTAGCTGGGGTCGGGTCCGCCGGGCGGGCGGCGGGGGCTGCTGGCGGGGTGCAGGAGGGAGGCCTGTGCAGATGGCTCCGCCGGAATACCAACTTCGCGTGCGCGCATGGGGGAACGAGACCCCGAGGCTGTCCCGACAGGGAGGCTTAGCCCGGTCACGGGCAGAATAACCCTCCAGAATTATGATTTGGTTCGGGGGTGAAAAGCGTGGCATCGCTTGAAAATTCGGTGTGTACAATTAAGTTAGAATGAGTAGGATTACTCCACAGACTGCAGAAGGGGATTTAGCAAAAATGAGCACCCGTTTTTAGTAACAGAACCAAAGAGAAATAGGACCAAACAAACAAAAGTCAATCTCTTTATATCCAGCAAAAATAAAATAGTAAGATTATTTAACTTAGTTTTTAAAAAACAAAACAAAACCCGGTTGGCTTATCTGAGATAAGAAGGTTCTGCTAATTAGTTGTGTGCCTGACTTTATATGGTGTTTTAGAAAGCAATTTAACAATAAATATAAACCCTTAAGCTAGCGACCTCACAGTTCATTCTAAAGGAATAATGGAATAATGCAACAGGACAAAGGAATGGTTTGTACAGGAAACAACCATTACCAAACTGAGCAGTAAAGCCCGTGTTTATTAAAGAAAAGGCTGTAAACAGTACGGCTTAGTAAATTTAGAATGCTCCACCAGAATGAGGTATGTGTGTGTGTGTGTGTGTGTGTGTGTGTGTGTGTGTGTGTGTGTGTATATATGTATATGCTTTATCCTGTCTATTGAAAGACTTTTAAGGCTGTGGTAAAACAGCGAGTCAAGCAGCGGTTGTGGCTGAGGGTGTTCCTCAGTGTATGCAGGAGGCCACTGCATGAGTTCCCAGCAGTGCAGGAACAAGAGCAAAAGCCACCAGTACAGAACGGTTAGCCAGGTGCAAGTTCGGCCTGAAGTGCGCACACAGGGCACGAGGCTGTCCCCAGGGTAGTCACTAGTTACTCCACTCGTGTTTATATCCGTGTACGTGTGGGACACTTAATTTTACGTGTTATATAACCGCTTCAGAAAGATGGACAATTGTAGGCTAAGGGGGCTGGAGAGATGGGCAGCGGTTAGGAGCACTGCCTGCTCTTCCTAGGGGTTAGGGGCCCTGACTGCTCTTGCTAGAGGATCTGGGTTCAATTCCAAGCATCCACGTGGCAGCTCACAACTGTCTACAAGTCCAAGATCTGACAGTCTCACACAGACATACATACATGTAGGCAAAAACACCAATGCAAATAAAATATAAATAAATACATTATTTAAAAAAGATGAGCAATGTTAACATGAATAATTTTGTTTTAAGCCAATATTTGGTCTTACAAACATTTGGAAGATATGTCAAACAGACAAAAAGAACCTCAAAAATACTTGTAACTATATCCTTTGAGATAGTCATTTTTTTTCTCTTTAGTAATTTTTGTAGTGTCCCTTCTTAAAAAAAAAAAAAAAGAAAAAGAAAAGAAAGAAATTAGTCCAGGGGTTGGGGATGTGCTTCCATAGTAAAAAAATAAGGTATAAGGAAAATAATAATCATTATCATTGTAGTTTTCCCCTAATATTTTTCTGTATTCTTAAAAGTATTTTTTGTTGTTAGTGTTTTTTGCTTTTTTGAGACAGGGTTTCTCCATAGCTTTGGAGTCTGTTCTGGAACTTGATATGTAGACCAGGTTGGTTTCAAACTCAGAGATCTATCTACCTTTGCCTCCCGAGTGCTGGGAGTAAAGTCATGTGCCACCACTGCCCAGCTATTCTTAAAGGTTTTGCAGTTAAAATATTAATTCTTCCTCACTGATTTCGATTCCATCTCACTGTGCAGCTGTGATGGCCTAAGTAGAGGAGGCTTTTGTCTCCAGGTGCTGGGATTAAAGGGTGCAGGCAGACTGTTAACTTTTAATTAGATAAAATTTTTTGTAATCATTTGTATTTACAATCTACCCCTATCATTTGAAGGAGAACAGACAGTTACTGTTCTGCTCTGGCCCCTAGCCAGGAGCCAGTAACGTCAACTAATGGGCTAAGTGTTGTCCATACCAAGCTACATTTGGGATTAACTGTGTTTTCTGATTTTGCAGCCAACAGTACTAATCTTGGCGCTGGGAAGAGACTCAGAAGCTTAGGAGACTTGAAGATTAGATGGAGAGTGACCGAAGTTGGGTCTCCCTCTGTTTTCGAAGATCCCCCATTGAACAGAGAAGATGACTGCAGAATTGGAAAAGACCATGGGCCGAGCCTCTTGGGGCCCAGTGAAGGTGGAAAAGGAAGAGGATGAAGATAGAAGTATGAGTCCGGCATCCATTCAGCAAGTGTACTCTGAGAATGCCAAGGGCCGGGGCCCAGGGGAAAGTCCTTACTTAAGCATTGATGTATCAGAAGAGGAGGAAAAGGTAATTGACGATCTGGGGGAAAGAGAGAGAAACACAGATCTCAGAGTTTCCCAGGCACTCGACTGCCAAACCCAGATTTTTTTCCTGATGAGGGCTCCCGCCTTTATTCCTTTGGAACATAGTGAGACGTTCCCTTTGACTGCTGTATACTATCCTGTAAGTACAGTTCTATACGTCTGTGGCTCCCGCCTTTATTCCTTTGGAACATAGTGAGATGTTCCCTTTGACTGCTATATACTGTCCTGTAAGTACAGTTCTATATGTCTGTGGCTCCCATCCATTGCTGCATAGAGCTTGGGGAACTTTACCACATCTTAATACCAACACTATAGTCTGTTCTAATTAGATTCTGGGGGATACGACCTAGTGAAATGTTTCATTCAGGGTTTAACAATTCTTTCCAGTGCTTTGCCGTCGTTAATGTCTGCCACGGGTTCTCATTAAAGTATAATTTTGGTTTAGAAGGTCTTGGATGTTACTACAGATACTGTTCATCTATAGACAAATAGCTCAGGCTGACTGAATTCCTGAGTCTCCTGCATTCACTACCCATGTGCTGGGAGTAAGCGCATGGATCAGCACAGTTTGGTTTACCCTTAGTGGTTTCAAACTCACTCCAGGATCATTCAGAGTTTTCTCAGAGCTCTCTGTGAGAGTTTGGTCAGAACCCTGGTTAGTTTGATTTTTGGGGCCTAGAAAATTCTGCTGAAAAATCTTTCCAAGTGCTGCCCCCAGAGTCTCTGTTACCCAAGAATGACCTTAAAATTATGATCCTCCTGAAGTGATTTCCCATAAGCTTGGGGTACAGGTCTGTGGTCAGACACCTATTTTCTGTGGTGTGAGGCAAAGCACTATATCAGCTGAGCTCAAAGCCATGCTCTCTGCCTTTCTCAGCTAGGGCTCACTAACAAATTAGGACACATGCTGTAGAATTCAGTGAGTTAAAAATAGAGGTGGTAGGTTAGGGTTGGTGGTGTTACACACCTTTAATTCCAGTGCTTGGGAAGCAGAGGCAGGTGGATCTCTGTGAGTTCAAGGCCAGCCTGGTCTACAGTGTGAGTTCCAGGACAGCCAGGGGTACACAGAGAAACCCTGTCTCCAAAACTTTACAAAAAGAAAAAACAAATACCAACAACAACAAAAAGAACCAAGCTTCTCTTCCCAGGCATTCTGGGGAGTTGGGTTAGACTCCTGCTCAGTTTTTGTGACCTCCAGGAATGAGTTCTCATCCGCAAAGCTGTGATTACCACCATGCTTCAGTCTGTCTGTAGTGCCCTCATAAACAAACTATACCCACTTGTTTCTAGGGTCAGAAAATGTTCTGGGACATGGCAGTGGTCCTAAAAGCAACACAGGAGGCTGCTGCTGCACCCCTTGGGAGCTACTCATTACCAGGGACTCTGGCCAAGCGTGAAATCCTGGAGCCTCATGGGAACCCAACCCTCCTAGGTAAAGTTCAGCTCCCTGATCTCAGTCACATTAAAATGTGTGGGTGGTGTCTGGTTTTCCTTCTGAAATCACATAGTATGAAAAGAGCTGCCCTTATAGTTGCCACAGTGTGTGGCTCTTTTTTTTAATACAGTCTAAAGACCAAACAGGTAAATTCTAAGTTCACTTTTTAATCATGTTCGTTCCTTAGCACTTTTCATGTCTCTGCACATGTGTAAACCCATGTCTTCATGTGTTTTACTGTTATTTTTAAGTTGCAAGTAAAGGATCGTGTGCTCTGCCTGTTTTATTCTTGTTTCTTTTTGAGACGCCTCATATCCCAGCCTGGCCCTAGACTCACTGTGTAACCAAGACTGACCCTGATTTGAGTTTCTAACCGTCCTGCTTTCATCTCCCAAGTGATAGGATTACGAGCCTGCCCCACCATACCTGCTGTATGTGTGTGTGCTGGGGATTAAACCCAAGGCTTCATGCATGCTAGGCAAGCAGTTTACCAACTGAGTTACATCCTCATTCTTAAGTGTCTTTCTTTTAAAGACTTAAAAGAAAATACCTTGTGCTGGACAGATAGTTGAGTAGTTAATAACACCGGCTGCTCTTCCAGAAGACCTAGATTCAGGTCCCAGCACCACGTGGCAGCTCACAACTGCCTGTAGGTCCAGTTTCAGTGTGTCAGACACTTACATAGATACACATGCAGACAAAACACCAGTGCACATAAAATAAAAATAAATCATTAAAAATCTCTAGGGCCAATAATATAGCTCAGCAGGTAAAGATGCCCTTTGGTCTAAGTTCCATCCCGTGTACGTTAGCATGCTACCTCTATCCCCCAATAAATGTAGTTTAAAAATTCTTAAAAGGTACCTTTATCTTGGTATCATGGCCTGTAATTCCATCACCCTGGAGGCAGAGGCAGTTGGATCTCTCTTAGTTTGAGGTCAGTCTGGTCTTCATACCTGGTCCAGACTATCTAGGGCTAAATAGTAAGATCCTGTCTCAAAACAAAAATTACCTCAGTGTGTAAGGAGTTATTACAGATCATTAGTATGAAGTGATTTAAAGATTTAAAAAGTTAATTCGGGGCTATCAGATGGCTTAGTGGTAAAGGCAGTGAAAAGTGATTTAAAGATTTAAAAAGTTAATTTGGGGCTATCAGATGGCTTAGTGGTAAAGGCAGCTGTTGCCATGCTTGGTGACCTGAGTTCACCCCTTGCCGTTGTCCTCCGACCTCCACGTGCACACTGCGGTATATGTGCGCACACAACACACGCAGACAGAAATGGTTGGGGGGTTGGTAATTCTCATGTACAGAAATCAAAATAAAAAAACACAAGAAGCAGATTGAAGTGTTTAGCTTTACTGACTGTTATGGACATGAGGAATGAAAACAGTAAGGTGCTAGCCTCACTTAATTAAATCATTGATTATTTTTGCTTATTTGTTGTTTTGAGACAGGGTCTCTGTACATAGCCCTGGATGTCTTGGAACTCGTTATGTAGACCAGGCTGGCCTTGAACTCACAGATCCACCTGCCTCTGCGTTCCAAGGGCTGAGATTAAAGGTTTCTGTCACTACACTGGCACAGGACCCTGAAATCAGTCTTGATGGGCTGTGACAAGATCCTGCTTGTGCAGAAATGACCCATAAATGAGGGTCAGGAATGTTTCTGTGGGTGGGGGGGATGGGATTGCATGCTTCATATCTCAAGAGCACAAAAAGCAGATTAACGGGCCAACAAAATCAAGTCTTTTTGTTTGTTTGATTGATTGACTGACTGATTGGGTGTTTTGTGTGTGTGTGTGTGTGTGTGTGTGCCTTTTGAGCCAATGTTTCATGTAGTCCAGACTGGCCTTGCACTTTGGAACTACATGCCTCTACCTCCCGGTGTTGGAATCACAGGTGTATACTGTCATGGCCACCTGAGGTTTTTATGATTAAATTTTACTTACTCATTTACTGCATGTATATGTGTGTGTGTGCATCTGCACCACAATGCACGTACAGAGGTTAGAGGACAGTTTTGTGGAGTCAGTTCTACCCTTCCACTTTAACATGGGTACCAGAGTTGTGTAGCAAGGGCTTGTACCAGCTAAGCCATCATACAGATACCAAATCTCTTTTGAAAAAAGTCAAACAGGGAGGTTTATAGTTCAAAACGTAGAGTGCATATTTAACAAATGTGATGACGTTCATACACCAAGAGAAAGAAAAAAATGTGAAAGGAAGAAAGGTAGGTATTGATATAAAAGCCTAGTGGGGTTCTGGATGCAGGTAGTTTGCTGATAGAATGCTTGGCATTCCAAGTCTTTTGGAAGAATACTGTTCTTAACTGCTGAGCCATCTCTCCAGCCTTGGTGAGTTTTGTTTGTTTGGTTGATTTGGTTTTTTAGTTAAACTGTCTCTCTGTTTAACCCTGTTGTGGAACTTGCTCTAGACCAGGCTGGCCTCAGGCTCACAGCAATTTTCCTTCCTCTGCCATCCAAATGCTGGGATTATATGTGTATGTCACCATGCCCAGATTTTATCCTTATTTTGCTACCTAGCATTCTCACACACAAAAAGCCAAAGTTGGGAGGTCTTTTGTTTATGGATAGGGATTTTCCACATTAGCTGGTCAGTTCTGTGCTAATTCACACTAGCAGCTCGAGAAAAAAAAAGGTAAGTTGAGGCAGGGCTGGTACCCTTCATAATTGGTCAGTTGTGAGTCTTATCTTCAGGTTTCCAGTATTGTCTAGAGCTTGGGCCTGTTACTTTGGGCTAAGTGGCTGTTGTTGCTGACAGATATAAGGAGGGAAAAATTTCTTTTAACTTAGAATCAAGAGGTTTCAGTTCAGAGTGTGTAGAACATGATAGTGGGATTATGTGGAAGATGAGATGGCTTACTTCATGATGAACAGGGACCAGGGCCTCAAGTTTCCATAACTTCCCCTAAAGCACCGCTAGCTAGGGGCTAGCCATTCAGCATATGAGCTTATAGTGGCGCTCATGCTGGAACATAACAGAATCTGGTGAATGGCAGGCCATAGACACAGCTGAAGAATCTGCAGAGTGTGGTCTTCCCCTCCATGAGGTCAGTTTGTGGCGTTATTTACTGTGATGCTGTTGAGCCTGTTCTTTTTCTGCGCCAGAGGGAACATTTTTATTTTCTGTTTCTTGGTACAGGTACTGACACCAAGAAGCTGCAGTTACTGGTTCCTAAAACAGAGACAGGCGATGAAGCTGAAGAGTCCCTCGTGATTTTAGGAAGAATCCAGAAAGGTGATCTTCAAGGACCTGAGCTAGGAGAATCTTGTGAAAAGGGAAATGTATTAAAAAGGCAGAGAATAAAGAAGGAAAAAAGAGATACAAGAAAAGTCACAGTGAAAGACTGCCCATTGTCTGAAAGCTTCAGAGAAGACGAAGACCAGAAGTCTAAGAAGTCTAGGAAGAAACACAGCCTTAGTTCCGGCCCAGCTAAAAATCAGAAAATGCATCCTGGGCCAAAGCCTTTTACATGCAATGAGTGTGGGAAAGGCTTTAGTCAGAGTGCAAACCTCGTTGTACATCAACGAATCCACACAGGGGAGAAACCCTTCGAGTGTCACGAGTGTGGGAAGGCCTTCATTCAGAGTGCAAACCTTGTTGTGCATCAGAGGATCCACACTGGACAGAAACCCTATGTTTGTGCAAAATGTGGGAAGGCTTTCACTCAGAGCTCCAATCTGACTGTGCATCAGAAAATCCACTCTTTAGAAAAAACCTTTAAGTGTGGTGAATGTGAGAAGGCCTTCAGTTACAGCTCACAACTTGCTCGGCACCAGAAAGTCCACATAACTGAAAAGTGCTACGAATGCAATGAGTGTGGAAAAACATTTACTAGAAGCTCTAACCTCATTGTCCATCAGAGGATCCACACTGGGGAGAAGCCTTTCGCCTGTAACGATTGTGGCAAAGCCTTTACCCAGAGTGCAAATCTTATTGTGCATCAGCGAAGCCATACTGGTGAGAAGCCATATGAGTGTAAGGATTGTGGGAAAGCCTTTAGTTGTTTTTCCCACCTTATTGTGCATCAGAGAATTCACACTGCAGAGAAACCTTATGACTGTAGTGAATGTGGAAAAGCCTTCAGTCAGCTCTCTTGCCTTATTGTCCACCAGAGGATTCACAGTGGAGATCTCCCTTATGTGTGTAATGAGTGCGGGAAGGCCTTCACTTGTAGCTCATACCTACTCATCCATCAAAGAATCCATAATGGGGAGAAACCGTATACGTGTAACGAATGTGGTAAAGCCTTCAGACAGAGGTCCAGTCTCACTGTCCACCAGCGAACTCACACAGGAGAGAAACCCTATGAATGTGCAAAGTGTGGTGCAGCTTTCATTTCTAACTCACACCTCATGCGGCACCACAGAACCCATCTTGTTGAGTAGCAAGGAGAGTAGTTGGCCATAACCTACTGCTCCCAAATAGTAGGCACCTCTGTTTAGTCTTCCTTTGTTAAAACAAAGCCTATATTCTTTAAAATTATTTTCTGTAAGGTAAAGTAAACACAAGCATTTCGGAGGTGAATTTAAAGAAAATAAAACATCTAAAAGCCAAGGATGCAGCTTCTTTTTCTTATGCACATACTCACTGGTCCTAATGGGTTTTAAGTTACATGAGCTGGTGAGAAACAATCCTAAACTATCTGCCATTCAGCATTTTATTAAACTGAGATACACATCTTCACAGTGTATAAAAATATTATTGAACATCTTAACATAAAGATTTTCACCATCAGTTTCCCAAGACAATTATGGAAGTGGTTTTCCTGGGTTTGCTTTTTGTTTTGAGGTGTAATACTCCTGTGTAGTGCAGGGTGACCTGGTAATCCCTATGTAGTTCAGGCTAGCCTTCAACTGTGATAAATCTTCCTGCTCAGCTTCTGGAATCCTTGGCTTCATCATATGCAGTGAAGAATGAGAATTTAGTTTGACCTTTTCTTCCTATATGGCAGATGCCCATCTTAGTTGTGTTCAATGTTCTCTGATATTCCACTCCACCATAATTTTCTACCACTCCTTTAGTCCCAGCATTTAGGATGTATAGATCTGAGTTCAAGATCAGCCTAGTTAACAGGGTGAGTTCCTGGACAGCCAGAGCTCTACGGAGAAATCCATCTTTAAAAAAAAAAAAAAAAAAAAGTACCCTCCCCCCAAAAGATCATCAAAATGCAATTATTCTTCCCTTTACGTGGGAAGGCACTGTTTCAGGAGCTGGGACATTGCCATTAAACCCTCAAACTTCTGGCTCCACTGGAGGAGCCAGATAAAGCCACCGGCCTCCTAGGGTGATGTGGGAGGTGGATCTTCATTTCAAGAGTCATTATAGTCATGACAGGCAGCATTCGCTATTGGTTCCCTGATTATCCAAGCCAGTTCCCATGTTGGTGACTTCAGGTTCCATCACCTGGGCTTGAAGACAGCAGAGGGAAGCCCAAGAAAAGCTGAAGCTTTTCTGAGGTTAGCTGCCCCCCCCCACACATAATTCAAAATAAAAAAAAAAATCTCTAAAAGAGTTCTATCCAAGCATGATGATGCATTCCTTTAACCCCAGCACCAGGGGTGAGGTGGGGCAGAGGCACATGGGATCTCTGAGCTCACGGCTATACTGAGTTCTAGGTCAGTCAGTGATACATAGTGAGACCCTATCACCATTTAACAAAACAGGTTTTAAATAAACTAATTGAAAAACAGTGGAGCTGTTTGTTACATGAAAATATGTTTTTTTAAAGGATGAAACTATGCTGTGGTATTAAATTTTTTTGTTTGATTCCTTGACTACTTAAGAATTAGCTGGGCAGTAGTGGCACACACCTTTAACCCCAGCACTTGGGAGGCAGAGGTAGGCAGATCTTTGAATTCCAGACCAGCCTGATCTACAAAGTGACAGCCAGGAGTACACAGAGAAATCTTGTCTCAAAACAAAACGAAGAATAAATTAAAATAATATTTTCAAAATGTTGGATTTTGAAACAATCACTGGCTCCTTGTTTCTGAACACCTTTAACAATGGGCTGAGCTGAAGCTTCAAGCAAGCCCCCAATTAAATGCTTTCTTTTATAAGAGTTGCCTTGGTCATGGTGTCTCTTTACATCAATGAAACAGTCACTAAGACATCTGTTTATAATAATTCTCTGTGAGCTATTAGTTTTATATTTTTGAAATATGTAACTTTTAGAAAAGTCTAACCATGCAATTCTAAGAAAGAAGCAGGACAAAGAACATATACAACAATCTCAGTTTTGTTTAAAAATATAATTTACATATATACAAACCCACAAGCGGGAGGTAATAAAATGTTAACAGTAGTGAATGTTGAGCATTTCCAGTCAAAGGGGCATTGTTGGGTGGGTTTTACTTCCTGTATTTTTGAAGCTTTCTGCAATGACCCTGTAGTTCTAAGGGAAAATGTCACTTTAGGATATAGGAAAATTAATGTTTTAAAAGATACCTCGCTGCCATCAAAGGAAATCAAGTCTGCAGTATTTATACTTACTCATTTTCATCTTCATTGTCAAAAGAAAGGAGACTACTGTTTCTTATTTGCTTTTGTGAGTTCTTTCTATCTGAATTCTGCTTATTTATGTCATCTTCATTTGCTTTCTTCTTTTTGGAACTTGCTGTTAAACCTGAACTCTTTTCATCTGAAGAACGCTTAACTGGTTTTCTATACATGATTCTCCCATCAGCTGGAGGTGGTTCCTCATCTGTGACCAAAAAAAAAAAAAAAAAGCCAAAAGAGTTTCTTCTCATTATTTTGCTGGTAACAGAGTCAACAGACAAGAATGTCACATACTGTACTGGAGGATGTCCTTGAATTAATTCAGTCTGCTCTATTGCTAGTTGTGCCCTACCCAGCACACACAATCAGTCAATAAAAACTCACTATTATTAGTCCCCAGCTGACCAGTAGAGATGAAGAAGGTGATGGGATCTGAATGTGGGGCCTCCTATGCTAAGAGGTTTCTCTACCACTGGGCTGCAGTTCCAGTTTATCGGGTTGTATTTTGAAATGTGTTTGGAAACACAGTTATTTCTCCCTAAAACAATGTAACGTGTCTGGGAATAATACTAGTGCACTACATAAAGTCCTACATTTCGGGCATTGATTACACAGATCTCTGTTGACTAGTTGGCTTGTTTTGTTAATAGGATACTTTAAGTAGTGCACTAAGGGAGGTCCATTTATTGTTTATATTTCACTGACAGGGAACTTGATGCACAGAGGTGATCACTTGCTCAAGGTCACACATCTGGCACCATGGCCAATGCTTGAACCAAAGACCACATTCTTCAAACAAATCACTCTATTCACTTAAAACAAAACAAAGACCCACTTTATGTTCCTTAAAGTGTTAAAAAAAAAAAAACAAAACAAACAAAAAAACCAGACAATTTCTGGACATACCTGCTTTGGCAGCCTTTATTTCTGCCTTGATTTTCATGACTTCTTCAGCTGTTAGGTCTCCCTTTTTTAAAACCACTACTTGAGGCTGTTCATCTTCTTTGTCACTGTGATCGCCATCATCATCTGGGAGCTGAGGCTGGATTTTCTACAGAAAGTGTAAGTATAATGTGTAGGTCGCTAACCTTTAACCAAGCAACTATAATTATTAAGGTGAAATGGGTAACTATCCATGAAATGAATATGAAATGAATTAACTCCAAAGAGCTTAAGTTCAGCGCTGCAGCAAGCAGGTCGTCAGCCATTCACCCCGGGCACATTCACTTCTAGCAAGCCTGCTCAGGGTAGTGCTGAACCACCTTGGCTCTTTGTTTCTAATCGGCATTTTCCATCTCTGTCTTGTCTGAATTTGACAAAAAAACAAAACACCAAGCAAACAACCCCACCTCACCAAGCCACCGAAGTGCAGAAAATCACAGTTATTTTCTCCTACCTCTGCTCACCTAATATCCTAACAGCCTCAGTTTAGTAGCTATCTTATCAGCTGCTTTTCAAAGACACACCAATAATTATGTAAAAGCTTTTGTACATAAACAGTGCTGGGTGGGCGTTGGTGGCACAAGACTTTCTTCTTTTATCCCAGCACTCAGGAGGAAGAGGCAGGCGGGTATCTGTTGAGTTTGAAGTCAGCCTGGCCTGCAGAGCAAGTTCCAGGACAGTCTCCAAAGCAATACAGAGAAACCCTGTCTCAAAAACCAAACCAAACCAAACCAAACCAAACCAAACAACAACAACAAAAAACAATGCTGCACACATTAACTTTTGAAATGTCTCAAACAGAAACCCTGTACTCACTGTATGCATGTAACAAATGTAATATTCTATTTTCAAAAGCTAGACATCATATTTTTAATTAAAAAAGTCTTTGCATAATACTTTCTGATAAATATGGAACCACCTCAATTTTCAATTACTGCCCAACCTTTAATTGGGTGCAGCCATCTGGGTATGTGGGGAAAAAAAACCCTGCTCGACGTGGCCTTAGCCCACTTTATCCCGATCACTTTCACACCCTCTAGACTCTATAAGAGAACTTAACAGTCCGCGACCATATCCACCGCTCTGCCTCCTGTCTCTCACACTGTGTCCCGGAAGACCAACTGTTACTCACGTAGCCTTCAAGCCTACAAAGTTCAGCAGAAGCGCTTGTGAAGACAACCGCACGTCTTGTGTGAAGTGTGCAACAGGGACCACACTGCGTTCACTTCTCCCTGTCCTGAGACACGCAACCTGGGCAACAGCAGGCATTCTACTTCTGATCCCTACCCCACCCAGGACTCTGATTCCGGCCATTTAAACTAGCGGCCTCCGTTTCCTCGTCCGGAAACGGGGACGCCGCTGTCAACCACCCCGTTCACGTGAAGTGAGATCGGCAAGTGAGAAAGCCGCCGGGGCAGGAAGGCCGAATTCATAGCTACCGAGGGCTCGCTCATCTTCCGATCGGGCGCCAGAGGCCGCACCTGGGGCCCGCGCGGCTCCGAGGCGCCGGAAGCGGCGAGCCGACCGCGGCGCCACTCCCGCGGACGCACTCACCTTGGTCTCCACGGTGGGGCCTTCCCTGTAGCCGACTCGCTCCTTGAAGCGGGACAGGAAGGCCGGCTCGGCGGGCCGCACGTACGACACCTGGTTCCTCTTGCTCATGATCGCTCGCCACACTCGGCGCCCCGCGCCCCCGCGCCGACTTATGACGCGCCCCTGACGTCACCGACACGCCCCATCGGGAGGCGTGGCCCGCGGGCGGCGCCAAATTCAAATCCGCGGCCATCTTGGCGGGCGGGAGGATTCTGGCGGCAGAGGCGGTGGCGGGTCCCGGCGCGCGTCGCCATGGCCCCCGGCTGCAAAGGTAAGTCGTGCCCTCGCCCCGTGAGCGCCTCGCCGCCGGCCACTGCCGGTGTCAGCGGGGGCGGCGGCGTGCACAGCGCAGGCGCCCGGGCTCGCCCGTTCCCGGTGCAGCCGACCCTGCGGCTCCCGCACCCCCTCCCCTCGCCGCTGGCTGCCTCTCGCGTCCGTCCGCGCCCTCCACTTGGTGCTTGCTCCCGCGTTTCCGACTTTCCAAGCCTTCGTGAGTTCGCGAAGCCACAGTTGCGTTGCAGAACCCTAAATGTAGACGGATAACTGCATTTAGCATGCCCGGACACACAAGCTAATACTAAAGCACAGCAGTTGTAGTGACACACAGGCTGGCTGTAAGTTATGTGAAAGTCGTCTCTGGCGTACTTTCTTGGAGTGCTCGGCTTCCCTTTTGTCATGTGAGGTGCTGCGGTGTCTGCCCCGGGGGAAGAAATGCTATGGACAGCGTGACAAGCGTTTGGTTCCAAAAGTCACTCGAACACAAGCCCTGTCAGACAGCTAGCTGATCTAATGACAAATGGTTGAGACTATTAGGGGAGTAGCCTATTATACTGTGGATAAAGAAGCCTGGCTTAAGGGGGTCGAATTGCAGGACATGCGACCGAGAATAGGCTGTTTGAGAGGCCAGCCTTTATACTGAGGCGTTGTCTCACAAAAATAAGAAGACTTGTGATTAGTTTTGAATTTTCTGGTTAGGAATTTTGGGCTGTGGGTGATGGCTGAGAAGAAAAAAAAAAACTATGGAAAAAGGAACTGCAAGATTATAAGTAGACTAATATATATTGTCAATCTGTTTTCAGTGGCGAGAGATTGATTTAATCACCCCACCGCCACTGCATGTGAGCCCCACCTCTTGTATTGCCTGATTGTCCTTCTTAAGTTCTTTCTTTTTAGTTATGATGTGTGTGGGGGTGTTTGTGTGTGTGTGTGTGTGTGTGTGTGTGTGTGTGTGTGTAGGTGCCCTTGGAGTGGCTGGATACCCTGGAGTGTGTGTGTGTGTGTGTGTAGGTGCCCTTGGAGTGGCTGGATACCCTGGAGTGTGTGTGTGTGTGTGTGTGTGTGTGTGTGTGTGTGTAGGTGCCCTTGGAGTGGCTGGATACCCTGGAGTGTGTGTGTGTGTGTGTGTGTAGGTGCCCTTGGAGTGGCTGGATACCCTGGAGTGTGTGTGTGTGTGTGTGTGTGTGTGTGTGTGTAGGTGCCCTTGGAGTGGCTGGATACCCTGGAGTGTGTGTGTGTGTGTGTGTCTGTGTGTCTGTGTGTGTAGGTGCCCTTGGAGTGGCTGGATACCCTGGAGTGTGTGTGTGTGTGTGTGTGTGTGTGTGTGTGTGTGTGTGTGTGTAGGTGCCCTTGGAGTGGCTGGATACCCTGGAGCTGGTGTGTGTGTGGGGGGGGGGCGCTGGCATGTTTTTGTTTTGTTTTGGCTGAGTATGAAATTTGAGGATGGAATGAGGAGATGCTTGAGAAAATTGTGAAATTATACATTTGAATTTTACAATACTGCTCATGCTTGTAGCTCTTTGTCAATTGTGTTTCCTGATAGTTGTTTAATGAATCCTTTAAGTCTGTTACACCATTATCTGAACAATTCAGTGTGATCTTTTTTTCTCAGTTTAGTGTCTTTCCTTTACCACTTTCACTATTAAGGGAATTTAAGCACACAAATTGGTTCTTTGTATATTTTAAATGCACATCCTGTTTTCTATATCATTGTATTTATTATAATTCTTTTTAAAAATAGGGTCTCACATACACCAGGCTGGTGTTAAGATTTCTCTGAAACCAAAGATGATGTTGAACTTGTGATCCTTCTGTCTCTACCTCCCGGTGCTGGGAATAGAGCTATTCCTACAGTCAGTAGCTCCCTCAGCAGCAACCAGTACTCTGGTTTTTATCACCACTCGTTAGTTTTATCCATGTAAATGGTAGATACATTCTTTTTCCTTGTAATGACTTGTGAAATTTGGTGCCCGTGGGCATCCACGATAGGTAGCAGCAGCTAGGTCTTTTTCATTGCTACCTGGTGTTCCAGTAGGTAAGCATATTACAATATGTTCTGTTTTTGATGGGCAATTTGTTCTGAGTAGGTTTTTCCGACGGCCTGGGCCCATTGCCGTGCCAGCCCCAAATAACACACAGAGACACTGTATTAGATACAGTGTCTGTTATTGGCTAGCTCTGTCTTAAATATTAACCTATTTCTATTAATCTAAGTATTTCCACATGGTACGCGGAGAGAGGGCCCAGCGTACTAACCTGTTGGTCCTACATCTTGAAAACTCCTCCCTACTACTTCCCGAATCCTCCTTGTCTCCTAGTCCCACCTATCTTGCTTTCCTATTAGCCAACAGTGCCAGTAGAGAAACATGTTTACAGAATGACATCTCCCATCAGCATTTTTTTCCTCTTTCTATCTCTTTGAACTTGGGTTTCTAGGTTGAATTGTCTTGAATAAAACATCTGTGCAAAACATTAGCATGTTTCTAGATAGTCACATCTATGACCTCAAAGTTGAAAAAAATTTTACAGTGAATGTATACAGAGAATTTCCTTGTAGTGTCACAATTTTATGATATCCACGTGATGAGACTATATACTTCCGTTAACCTTTGGTCAAGAGGTAGCATAACGAGGTGGGTAATTGTAGCTGGAGGTTTCTCATCCGGCCTGGTCCCGAAGCTGCTTTTAAAATGACCACTCAAAGGCTGAATATTACTACAAACTGCTTGTCCTATTAGCACAGGCTTATTATTAACCAGCTCTTACAGCTTAAATGAATCCATTTCTCTTAGTCTATATATTACCTTGAGGCTTGTTACCTTACATCTTGCTTCTTCAGCAGCCACTGGCATCTTCCCCTGATGCCACCTTCTTTCTCCCTGTATTTCTACTTGGATTTCCTGCTTGGCTCTATTCTTCCTAGCTATTGGCCAATTCAGCTTCTTTATTAACCAATGGTAGTAAAACATATTCGTAGCATATGGGATGACATCCTCCTTCAGCTAATGGTATGGAAGATGAATTCAGAATGCCTGTGTTCAAGTCCTAATACTTCTCAAAACATCTCTTCAGACTTCAGTTAGGAATTGTGTGTCCTTTTGCTATATAAACTCTGAGGTCCCTCTGCCTCTGGAGTGATGGGACTTAAGATGTGCACTACTGGCCTCTCTGAAATTCTTCCTTTTATCTCACTGTTCATTTAGCTTTGCTTTGGGTGGAGTGGGGAGGGGATGAGAATTTTCTTTTGGGGTGTGTGTAACTTACTGAAAACTTGCCTTTTGACATCTGGTCACTTAAGGAGATCTCAGGAGATTCTGAGCTTGCTCTTTTTATGAACTTCTCCAGTTTTTGTCCCAAGGAGTCTAGCTGTATTCCTGTTCCCAAACCAAACTATTTCTCCTCAGCTCAGCCAGATAAGCAAGCTCTGTTTGGATTCTCCAGCCTGCACTGTGGTTTGTGATCCAAGGGCTCACAGGGATTCCAGAGCCTTTGCTTCCTTTTCTCAGGGATGCTTTTCTATACTGTCTGTTGTCCAATGTCTGAGAACTTGTTGCATAGTTTTTGTCCAGTTTCCTAGTTACTTTCTTTATTTCTTTCTTCTTTCTTTCTTTCTTTTTCTTTCTTTCTTTTCTTCTTTCTTTCTTTCTTTCTTTCTTTCTTTCTTTCTTTCTTTCTTTCTTTCATCCCAAACCCAGTTCCTCCCCTCTCCTCCCCATCCCACCTCCGTCCAATTTCCTAGTTGCTTGCTTGCTTATTTATTTGTTTGTTTGTTATTTATTTGCAGCCCAATCCCAGTTCCTTCTCTCTCCTCCCCATCCCACCTCCCATCTGCTCCTCAGAGAGATGAGGGTAAAGGCTCCCCTAGGATGTCAACTAAGTCTGTCCCATCACCTCATTGAGACAGGACCAAGATGCCCCCACCCCCATGTCTAGGCTTGAACAAGGCATCTCTCCATAGAGAATGGGCTCCACATAGTCAGTTTATGTGTATAGTTAGATCTTGGTCCCATTGCCAGTGGCTTCATATGGTGGCCAAGCCACACCATTGTCACCTGTATTCAGAGGTCCTTGTTCAGTCCTATGCTGGTTCCCCCGTTGACAGTGAGGAGTTGGTGATCTCTCATTAGCTCTGGTCAGCTGATTCTGTGGGTTTCCCTATCATGGTCTTGACCCCTTTTTCACATTACTGCTTACCTCTGTTGTACTCGGGGGGGGGGGGTCCAATGGTTAGTTATAGACCTCTGTATCTGCTTCCATCTGTTTCTGGAAGAGGGTTCTAGCTTCTCTGAGGTTGTAGATTGTAGGCTGGGTACCTTGCCTTATGTCTGGTATCCACTTACAAGTGAGTACATACTATATTTGTCTTTCTGGATTTGGGTTACCTCACTCAGGATGGTTTTTTTCTAGTTCTGTTCATCTGCTTGCACATTTAAAGTTGTCATTGTTTCTTACCACTGAGTAGTAGTCCATTGTGTAAAGTACCACATTTTCTTTATCCATTCTTCAGTTAAGGGACATCTAGGCTGTTTCGGGTGTTTCTAAGTTCTGGCCATTACGAATAATGTTGCTATGAACATAGATGGGCAAATGTTCTTGTGGTGAGTGTGCTGCCTTTGGGTATATGCCCCAAACTGGTATTGTAGGATCTTGAAGTAGATTGACTCCTAGTTTTCTGAGAAACCACCATACTGATTTCCACAGCAGCTATTCAAGCTTGCACTCCCACCAGCAATGGAGGAGGGTTCTTCTTACTCTACATCCTCTCCAGCATGAGCTGTCATCAGGGTTTCCCAGTTACTTAAAACAGG